GCCCCTTCCCCAGGCCCCCGCCCGCCTTCCTCCCACCCACCCCCCCTCCTCCACCCCTTCCCAGGCAAGCATCCGGTGAACAAGTTCATCACCACCATCATCACCCGGCTGAAGCGCAAGAAGCTCTGGAAGATGTACTTTGGGGGTCCGGTGCGTGGACGGAGAGGAGGGCCCACGTTGAGCTGAGGTTTGGGGGGCACCTCGGTGCCCGGAAGGAGGTATTCCATCGAACCAAGGATGGGTGGACTTGCGATCTTGGTCACACTCCAAAGCAGCATCCCTCCCGCCGGCAAACTCCTCACACCAACCAGGTCACCTCGGCGGCGGCTCCCGACTACCACAACTGGGTCCGGCCACAGGACGAGATGTACCTCGATAAGATACAGGCAAGGCTTGGAGGTTGGAAGGGAGTTGGTGCACCTGAAAGGGAGGGTTGGGAGCGAGTTTATGTTTTCGGTTCGGTGCCATGGAAGGGCGATTGAGAACCCTGCCGGTCCCCATCCTTGTTCACAGAAGAAAGCTGGGAACGGCAAGTACACCAGCGTCGATGGGTTCCGCCAGGACCTGAATGCCATCCTGACCAACGCCATCAAGTACAACTCCATCGGCCACGGCCGGCATGGTGGCCCTGGTGAGGCGACGCAGAGCATGGAACGATCACATTGCATGGACCCAGCAGCTCATCAAGACGCTGAATGCACCTCTCCCAATGTCCTCCCCCTCGCAATCCTTAGATGTCATCTCTTATGCCGAGGGCCTGGTATCAGACGCCGAGGTGGAGATCGAGGCCCTGTACCCCGAGATCAGTGCAGCTCAGGTGCGCTGTGTGATTCGTAGGACAATGTGGGGAGATTAGGGTCCAAGCCTGTCGGGACGGACCCCATGTGGCTGTGGAGGGAGTAGCTGGCCTCACGGGGGCTGCTGATTGCTGTAGCACCTGCAAGCCGGCCACCCAAACCTTTCTCCATGGCCAACAGCTCCCGATGGCCCCGCACAGGCCGCCTGGGACGCCCCGCCGGAACCCTACCCCGAATATGCTCCCGTGGCCGCCGAACCGCATGCAGCCCTGGCGCCTCAAATGGCCGTGCAGCAGGACCAATGGGTCCAGTGCAACGCGTGCCAGAAGTGGCGAGTGATCAGCCCGTGAGTGATCTGGCGCCTGGTGTGGAGGGGCTTGGCTTGGGCAGGGGTATGGAATTGGGCCTTCCGATGGCGCAGTTCGCACCGGGAAGGCCTGTGAGCTGCCAGATTACGTTCCTGTGCCTCGCCGTCAAAGCGATACACCCATCGTGAACCCACCTTTCCCACATGCAGGGCCGTGTATCAGGACACAGTGAGCCCTAGCTCCAATGACCCATGGTACTGCAGCATGAACTACGATAGGTGCGTGGGGAGTGTCGCAGATCCGTTGTACACTGCCTTGTTTCGGACATAACCATGGTGCTGTGGGAGCTGGAGTGGGCGATGTCGTGCAGAGGCGTCAGCAGCGGGGACGATACTTTGGCCACGCTCCTCCTGCCGCAGGCCAGGAGCTGGCTGCCAGGATCCTGAGGACACCTGGGTGGAGCCCGCGGCTGTGTGACAAACCTGCCTCTGGGAGGAGCACCCCTTTGCAAGTACAGTCAACACCTTGAGTTGCAGTTTGGCCCATACTTCCTGGCAGCGCTCAGCCCTTCCCTTGATTTTCCTTGCAGCGCCTTATGCCACTTGACATAAACAAACACGTGTGGTACAGAGAGCCATCAGGCACCGCTCGTTGTGATAGGGGAAGCTGGGGTTGTAGCCTTTACCTTCATAAAGAGCATCCAGCGATTTATCTGCTGACTCGCTGCCATCCTCTGACACCAGCAGCAGCAACGTTCCTCCACATCTCTACCAGCACCGTCACTGGAATGCACTTCACCCGGATCGTCTTCAGAGACACCCAACATGCCATTGGTATGAGAGCCTGCATGCTGAGATGAGGAACCCAGGCCTGCTGGATGCCGAACCTTGCCATGCATCATCAAGACCCACCAATCATTCCATAATGACATCGAGGGCTTGCTACCATGCTACTCAATCTATTTGGGACAGTAGTGTTGGTTCTCATTCATGATAAATGATGCCAGGCATTTGGTAGGTCCAAGGCTTTCAAAGGTATGAGCACCAGGACACGTCCCATGCTCAACAGTCGCACTAGTCCCCAAAAAGCTTCTCGACCTATTGACAGATCAGCGTATGCGTATACACCTGCGAAATCCAGGCCAAAATTCGCTTGTAGCGGCGTTTCTATGCTCAATTTCAGGGTTAACAGCGTTGAATATCCGAAATCAGCCTTGTCTGAACTTTCTTCGGGGTTGCTAGGCACAGCATCAGGCTGCAACTGATCCACGGCAGCAACATCCTGCCGCTTGAGATTCAATGTCCAAAATTTGGCGTCCTAATAGGGGGTCTCTGGGGAATTTGCACATTCTTGTCGAACTTCAATCCTTCACATGAACACCCTCGACGTCACCGCAGGGAGACTGCGGGACGCAGAAGCACCCTTACCCGAGGACCACACTAGCATGATCGAATCGGCTTTGTAATGAGAGCAATGGTTCACAGAGAAACAGAATCCATACGAGTTGGTTTTCCCTGCTGATATCAACATGGGAAGGAACACGGATCGCCATTATAGAAAGAAAGAACATCTCGCAAAAGCTTTCGCCCCTGGACCGAGATTTCCCTCGGGTTTGTAAGCCTGCGACGGGTCCTCAGCACTCACATAGAGTTCACCATGCCGCCGAGGAGTGGGCCAGGATACGGGTACCCCGACGAGTACCAGGGTCGTCCCCCGGCTGACCTGGATGTCGAGTCGGATGGTGACCCCGGGGAGTCGGAGGATTCCGACGAGGAGGCCGCAGCCCTCGCTCGAATTCGAAATCGGAGCAACTCGCGCCGGGGCAGCACGAAAAGGGCGAGCGGCGAGGGTTTCCAGCGCGTGAGCACGGCGACAGCTGCCAAGCGTCAGAAAGGCCCGGAACCGATCGTGGATGCAGACCTCTGGGTGTGCTGCGACCGCTGCAACAAATGGCGTGTCCTGCGCAAGGATGTCTTTGATCGTACCGTGCGGGAGGACGAGCGCTGGTACTGCGAGCTGAATTTCGGCAGGTGAGCGGACGGGTGTCGGGGTCTGCGTGAGTGGGGACCGAAGTCATGGGGAAGGGGCCAGCCGAGTCGTCTCCCCCAGCAAGGCAGCGCCATGCACACACCTGCTCCCCTTGTCGCGCTGGCACACCCCTCCTGCTCACATGGCCCTCCTTGCATGTTCAAAGTTCATACACCAGACCCCCATGCCACCCACCCCTTCACACAACCTCACAGGCCCGGCGCCTCCTGCGCCGACATGGACGACGAGAAGGCGCAGGCTCTGGGCCAGCGGCCCAACCACCCCGCCCCCCAGGCCCCGGCACCCCTCACCCGCCCCGCCGCCGCCGCCGCCGCAGGCCTGGCCCACCACCTGGGGCCGGGGCTGGGGCAGCGGGCTGTGGGGGCGCTGGGCGCCGGGCCCCATGGTCCCGGCCCGGCCTTGGGCGCCGCCCCTCAGGGCGCCTACGGCGCCGGGTCCCCAGGGCGCGTACGGCGCCGCCACCCAGGGCGCCTTGGCCTCCAACCCCGGGGCGGCGGCCTACCTGCAGCAGCACCACGCCAGCCTGCAGCAACAGCTGGCCGCACACCAGGCGGCCGCCGCGGCCAACGCCTCGGGCGGCGGCCGGCCGCAGGGCGCGCACCAGATCCCGGCCTACCTGCAGGCACAGGTGGCGCTGGCTGCCGCCGCCGCCGCCGCGGGCGGGCGGCCCGGCCTCTTCCCGCAGGGGGGCTCCCTGCCCAACAACGGCCAGTTCGGCCTGCCCCAGTTCGGGGGCCTCGCCGGTGTGGCGGCCAGCCGCCCGCTCCAGGGCGTCGTGGCCGGGGGGGGACTCCCCGCCACACAAGCGCCGGCGCCGGCGGCCAAAGCGCCCAGTCCCGCGCAGGCGGCCCCCGCCGCGGCGGCGCCGGTGCCGCCCACGGCCACCGGCCCGGCCGCCGGCCCGCCCACGGTAGTCTCCGCGCCCGCCCTGGGGTCGGTGGCCACCACAGGGCCGGCGGCGGACGCCGGCAGCGACGTGGCGGCGGGCACTGGCGTGGGCTCGGGTCCCACCCCCACCTCGGGACAGGCCCCGACCCCGGCCCCGACCCCTGTGGGCCCGCCCCACTCTGGTGCCGACTCCGATCCACCCCCCCCGCCCCCTCCAGCACCCATCCCCGCCAGCCAAGCCCCCCCTGCCAAAGTGCCCTTCCCGCCCCCAGCGGCACCCACTGCTGCCGGCGAGGCGCCGGCGCCCGTCCCCGCCGCTCCCTCCCCGCCCCCAGCGGCGCCTGTGACTGCTGAGGAGGCACCCGTACAGGACGGCCCGCCTGCGGCACCCCAGGACGATGGTGCGACCGCCGAGGCAGCCCCCGACGCTGCACCCGCCGAGGCTGCCCCCGACGCTGCCCCCGCCGAGGCTGCTGCCGGTCCCTCAGAGACTTGACGGCGGCCCTCACCCAGCCCATCCAGCCCATTTCCAGGGCATCGCAAGGCACACCGCCATGCTCCCCACATGACCCATGGACCCCCTTCCCGGCGGCTGTTGTCCCCGTACCCCGTCTACCCTCCCCTGCCCACGCCGTGTGCGTGGCGTGGGTCCCAGCCGTCTGTTGCTCACCCCCTCCCCTGCCTGGAGTTGCCACGGGGGCAGCGGGCCCTGACCTGACTGTACGCCCCCCTGATCCTGTCTGATGTGAAACGCCTGGTCGTTCCAGGCCTCAAGCAACGATACGAGGCACGCAGATGGGGTTGTGCGCTTTTTGTTGGGGGGGATGGTGTGTGTGTGGACTGCATGGGGGACCGGGCCTCGTGCGGCCATACCGAAAGCCGCGCACCGCCATCGGGGGCGGTGTGCGACCACTTTTACCGAGCCTTCGGCCGCGAGGGCTCGGTGCCCACCAATCGCTCAGTAGCCGCCGTAGCCGCCGTCGGCCGGGGCAGCTGCCGCGCCCTCCTCCTGCGGGATCTCGGTGACGATGACGGAGGAGGTGAGGAAGGTCTTGGCCACGGACGCGGCATTCTCCAGCGCGCAGCGGATGACCTTGGCGGGATCGATGATGCCCGCGGCCAGCAGGTCCTCGTACGCGCCAGTTGCCGCGTTGTAGCCGAAGGCGGGCGACCCGCCGTCCAGCACACGCTGCATGACCACCGACCCGTTGTCGCCCGCGTTGGAGGCGATGAGCTCAGAGACGTGACGGCGGCCCTCACCCTGACGCCCCAGCCCATTTCCAGGGCATCGCAAGGCACACCGCCATGCTCCCCACATGACCCATGGACCCCCTTCCCGGCGGCTGTTGTCCCCGTACCCCGTCTACCCTCCCCTGCCCACGCCGTGTGCGTGGCGTGGGTCCCAGCCGTCTGTTGCTCACCCCCTCCCCTGCCTGGAGTTGCCACGGGGGCAGCGGGCCCTGACCTGACTGTACGCCCCCCTGATCCTGTCTGATGTGAAACGCCTGGTCGTTCCAGGCCTCAAGCAACGATACGAGGCACGCAGATGGGGTTGTGCGCTTTTTGTTGGGGGGGATGGTGTGTGTGTGGACTGCATGGGGGACCGGGCCTCGTGCGGCCATACCGAAAGCCGCGCACCGCCATCGGGGGCGGTGTGCGACCACTTTTACCGAGCCTTCGGCCGCGAGGGCTCGGTGCCCACCAATCGCTCAGTAGCCGCCGTAGCCGCCGTCGGCCGGGGCAGCTGCCGCGCCCTCCTCCTGCGGGATCTCGGTGACGATGACGGAGGAGGTGAGGAAGGTCTTGGCCACGGACGCGGCATTCTCCAGCGCGCAGCGGATGACCTTGGCGGGATCGATGATGCCCGCGGCCAGCAGGTCCTCGTACGCGCCAGTTGCCGCGTTGTAGCCGAAGGCGGGCGACCCGCCGTCCAGCACACGCTGCATGACCACCGACCCGTTGTCGCCCGCGTTGGAGGCGATGAGCTTGAGCGGATAGGGCAGCGCGCGGCGCAGGATGTCGGCGCCCATGCGCTGCTCGTCGTTGTCCAGGCTGCCGCGGAAGGCGTCGATGCGCTGCGCCAGCTGGAGCAGGGTGCAGCCGCCGCCGGTGACGATGCCCTCCTCCACCGCGGCCTTGGTGGCGTTCAGCGCGTCCTCCACGCGCAGCTTCTTCTCCTTCAGCTCAGTCTCGGTCTGGGCGCCCACCTGGATGACAGCCACGCCGCCGGACAGGCGCGCCACGCGCTCGTTCAGCTTCTCCTTCTCGTACTCGGCCTCCGTCTCGGCGGCCATGTTGCGGATCTGGCGCACGCGCGCAGCGATGGCCTCCGCGGTGGAGCTGTCCCCCACGATGGTCAGGCTCTCCTTGGAGACGGAGATCTTGGCCGCCGTGCCCAGCACCTCCTCCCCCGCGCCGTCCAGGGACACACCCATCTCCTCCTTCACCACGGTGCCGCCGGTGAGGATGGCGATGTCCTCCAGGTAGGAGGTCTTGCGCTCGCCGAAGCCGGGGGCCTTGACGGCCACCACCTTGAGCGCGCCGCGCAGCTTGTTCACCACCAGCGTGGCCAGCGCCTCCTGCTCGATGTCCTCAGCCATGATGAGGAGCGGGTAGCCGCCGCGGATGGCACCCTCCAGCACACCCACCATGTCGCGCGCGGTGGCGATCTTGCGGTCCACCAGCAGCAGGCGGCAGCCCTCGTACTCGGCCACCATGCGCTCCGGGTCGGTGACAAAGTAGGGCGAGATGTAGCCGCGGTCGAACTGCATGCCCTCCACCACCTGCAGGCTGTCCTCCGCGGTCTTGGACTCCTCCATGGTCACCACCCCCGCGCGCCCTACGCGCGCCATGGCCGACGCGATGAGCTCGCCGATGACGGCGTTGCCGCCGGCCGACACGGTGGCTACGTCGCGCAGCTCGTTGTCGGAGACCTCGGTGGAAAGCGCGGCCAGCTCGGCCACCAGGTGCGTCACCGTGCGCTCCAGCCCGCGGATGACCTGGACGGGGTTCACCCCCGCCGCCACGATCTTCATGCCCTCCTGAATGATGCCCGCCGCCAGGATGGTGGCCGTTGTGGTCCCGTCCCCAGCCAGGTCGTTGGTCTTGGAGGCCGCCTGGCGCACCAGCTTGGCCCCGATGTTCTCCACGGGGTCCTCCAGCTCCACCTCGCGCGCCACGGTCACGCCGTCGTTCACGATCTTGGGGGAGCCGTACTTGGTCTCCAGCACCACGTTGCGACCCTTGGGGCCCAGGGTCACGCCTACCACGCTCGCCAGCTTGTCCACGCCCGCCTGCATGCGCTTCAGCGCCTCGCCATCGGTGTTGAAGTGCAGCTGCTTGGCGGCGCGGGTGACCGCAGCGCCGCGCCGCGCCGGCCGCGTGGGCACGCCGGAGCGCCGCAGCGCGGGGCGAGGGCCTGTGGAGGTGTGTGTGAGGGGAGTGAGGGGTCGATTGGGTGATGGGAGTGGGGAGGAGGGGTGGTGGTTGGGGGATGTCCGAGGCAGGGTACACAAAGCCACCACGTGCCGGAATAGCATAGTCTGCACCAATCATGCGCAGCCACGGCACATCGTCCGGCCTCCGCATCCCATGTTTGAGGCAAGCTGGTGCATGCACTCGAATGCATGCACGCCGGTGCCTGTGCACGACTCTACCATGGGCTGGCCCTGAGCCGTGACCCTCGACACCAAGCGGGGCCCCACCCATTCCAGCCAAGGAAACAGCATGACAGGCGTGCACCATGCGCTCGATGCGACCATGATGCAGCCATGTCATGCCCCTGATACACTGCCGGGGCGCGCACATGGCCCTGACGGCCGGAGTCCCTCACCTCCCCATCCCCAACTTCCAGAAACCCGCAGCGCACCTTGCACGCCGATCAAGCCGCGCGTGGCGGAGCCGCTGGATACCATGGCGGAAATCATCTGAGAGGAGTGGGTAAGGCTCGAGAAGCACGGTCAGTGTGAGCACCGTGGAGGGAATGCATGCAAGGTCTCGAAGGCTCCCAAGGCCGGGATGGCTAGGCACTCGCTCACGCCACGGCACACACATCCCCTCACCTCGCTGTCAAGGACCAATATCTAAACCTTTTCACTCGTGCCTGTCGAGGTGGATGATGATCAAAGAGGGTCTCGCCATGCATTGTGCGGCAAATGGGGCGTGGCGAATGGATTGCGGGTGGAAAGGGCGCTTCGCGCGAGCCGAAGATATGCCGCTACCGGGCTTGCGCCGGTTGCACAGCTGCTTCCCGCAAGCGGGATCTGACTGGCGCAGTTGGTTGCCTCTAATGGCGAACCAGAGGGGGTGGGGGGGGTGGGAGGGCGGGAGAAGACGAAGCAGGGGGGCCACCAAATGCAGTGGGACGAAGTGCATTCGCAAAAAAGCACTTTGTCAGCATCAGCATGTTGACCCCCCCGTTGACGTCGCGGTTGACAACATGGACTCTGTAGCCCTTGTTGACACACCGCTTGGTGTCCCACACGTCCACCAGCTTCTCCTCGCCGTTGCGCACCCGCACGTACTGGTGGGCGTGCAGGGTGGCGTGACAGGCGCAGCACAGTTTGGAAGTCCTGTGCTCGTCCACCACCACCACCCTGCACACCCGCCGCAGGCGCCGCAAGAAGCGGATCCAGGGCCCCGGCGGGGGCCCCCGCCATGATGCCCCCCCGGTCCCTCGGGCCGACCACGTTGCCCACGCCCACGACAGTGGTCATGCCGGGGGGGGGGCGGAACTGCTCCGCTAGCCGGTTGATGGCCCGCTCCCTGCCAACGTAGGCCTGATGGTGCAGCTTGCGGAACGGCTTCTCGTCCCTGTGCCAGGTCAGGCCCTGTCGCAAGGTGGGAACGATCCACGCGACCCGCGACAGGAGCACCTCTGTGCTCGCTGTCTTATAGGTCGGGCACCTGTGGGAAGGGAGTGGGGGAGGGGGGGTTGATCAAGAGGGTTGGTACAGTTGGAGCGATGCGAGGTGTCGCGACACAGTGCCCACCCCTGCGAGGCATACCCCTGCATTAACGCCACAAACCAATCACCACTCACTGGTGCAGCTTCTTGACATAGGGTGGGGCCTTTGCGTGCCACTTTGCGATGGTCTTCTCCCGCCGCTTGGACCCCGACATGGCGTGGAACTCCTTGGAGGAGCAGGATGTCACGTTGGCGTGTTCGTCCACCGCGGTGAACATCTTGGTCCGGCCGGGGTCGATGCCGACGTACAGGTGTACCTTGGCGTCCTCTGGAAGGGGGTCCCGCCTGCAAATTTTAGTGAGGGGGGGTGGGGTGGGGGGGGGGAGTTGTGTTGTGGGAGCGCGGCACGGGTGGGGGGGGGGGGGGGGGGGGGGGGGGGGGGGGGGGGGGGGGGGGGGGGGGGGGGGGGGGGGGGGGGGGGGGGGGGGGGGGGGGGGGGGGGGGGGGGGGGGGGGGGGGGGGGGGGGGGGGGGGGGGGGGGGGGGGGGGGGGGGGGGGGGGGGGGGGGGGGGGGGGGGGGGGGGGGGGGGGGGGGGGGGGGGGGGGGGGGAAAGGAAGGGGAAGCAGAGGGTCCACCAAAAGTTGTGGGACGAGGTGTATTCGCAAAAAAGCACTTGGTCAGCATCAGCATGTTGGCAGCCCCGTTGACGTCGCGGTTGACAACATGGACTCTGTAGCCCTTGTTGACACACCGCTTGGTGTCCCACACGTCCACCAGCTTCTCCTCGCCTCGGCGCACCCGCACGTACTGGTGGGCATGCAGGGTGGCGTGACAGGCGCAACACAGCTTTGATGACCTGTGCTCGTCCACCACCACCACCCTGCACACCCGCCGCAGGCGCCGCAAGAAGCGGATCCAGGGCCCCGGCGGGGGCCCCCGCATGATGCCCCCCCGGTCCTGGGCCGACCAGTTGCCCACGCCCACGACAGTGGTCATGCCAGGGGGGGGGCGGAACTGCTCCGCTAGCCGGTTGATGGCCCGCTCCCTGCCAACGTAGGCCTGATGGTGCAGCTTGCGGAACGGCTTCTCGTCCCTGTGCCAGGTCAGGCCCTGTCGCAAGGTGGGGACGATCCACGCGACCCGCGACAGGAGCACCTCTGTGCTCGCTGTCTTATAGGTCGGGCACCTGTGGGAAGGGAGTGGGGGAGGGGGGGTTGATCAAGAGGGTTGGTACAGTTGGAGCGATGCGAGGTGTCGCGACACAGTGCCCACCCCTGCGAGGCATACCCCTGCATTAACGCCACAAACCAATCACCACTCACTGGTGCAGCTTCTTGACATAGGGTGGGGCCTTTGCGTGCCACTTAGCCATGGTCTTCTCCCGCCGCTTGGACCCCGACATGGCGTGGAACTCCTTGGAGGAGCAGGATGTCACGTTGGCGTGTTCGTCCACCGCGGTGAACATCTTGGTCCGGCCGGGGTCGATGCCGACGTACAGGTGTACCTTGGCGTCCTCTGGAAGGGGGTCCCGCCTGCAAATTTTAGTGAGGGGGGGTGGGGCGGGGGGGGTGAGTTGTGTTGTGGGAGCGCGGCACGTGTGGGAGGTTGGTGGGTGGGTGGGTAGTTGCATACGGTAACGCACTTCGCTGCTGGTAAACTGCACACCCGCAGTCACTCCCGGGAACAGAGCAGCCAACACTCCCGCACCACTTGTAAGCGTTCCAGGCAATCACTGCAGCATGTCGACAAGCCAGGAGAGCCATCCCTATCAGCGCACACCCCAGTGGTACAGTTACGGACCGCTCACCGGTAGTATTCGTCGGCGATTCCCCTGCTGTTTGGGGCGCCCAAGGGCGCCCCGCCGCGGGTGCGCTTGCCGCTGGTCTTCGGGGCGTCGGGGGGGCGGGGCGGGGGGTCGCCGGGCCGGGGGGGTCCTCTCTGCCGCCGCAGGGTCACGGTGACGCTGTAGCCGTTGGTGCGCCAGTGCCCAGCTGAGTACCAACCGCAGCCCTCGAAGCGGCGAAAGTTGAACAGGAGGGCGAAGAATGCCCAACCAACATGCACGAACCAGTCCGTCTTCTTCTCGTCTGTCTCGCCCGTCTTCTTCCTCCCCCGCTTCCCCTCTGCGTCCACCTGGTACTCCTCCGCCTTTCTACGGAGGCAGGCCTCGATGGCCTGTTTCTTCCTGGCGGGGATGCCATGAACCTCCTCGAGATTGAGGAATTG